ATATTCAAAGATAGTACTTAACTAGTCATTCAGTAATGCAACATGCAAACGGTTTGTTCAGCACATACAGATGTACGGTATTTCACTTTTTAAAATAAATTACCCAAATCAGCAAATGCAGACTTTGGGATTCCCACAATGACTCAGAGGACCTATTCGTTCTACATATAAAAGAAAACTAGGTGATTTTAGTCCGCAAGCGAACTATATCGACCGAGCGACCGCCGCTTGTCGGCGAAGTTTGTCTAGAAAACCGAAATTAACGGCTGTGGGGATTTGTTGCGCTGACAACGCGACACCCTCTATCCGCAAAATTATGCATATAAAACCGTATAAAAATTATAAAGTTATAGATGTTTTAGTGTAAGTCATCAACAGTTATGAGCAGTACCTTCATAAATGCTGTTGTAAATTTTCGTTTCTCTATTTTTACAAAGGGCATTACAGAAATTTATCTAACATGAGATTTAACGTTCTCACAGCGGCCATTGTGAAGAGGATTATTTTAAGGATATGATGCCACGTGGTCTAAAAGAATTACTCTTCTATCCTGAAGATGGAAGCAACATGTTAGTCCAAAACATTGGTAACACTATACCGGACTGAATATCCAAACAGAGGGTAACTTTATTTCAGGAAAATATTTGTGTGAAAAATTCTATATTATAATCGAAAATTGAACAAAACTGTGTATTAATATTGAATTATAAACGTACCACTATTGAAAACTTTTCCCAATAAGTGGAATAGCACATACGAGTAGCTTGCATGCAAATTCCTACAAAGCATGTCCTTTAGCCCTTTTGTAGACTGCCTTGACAAAATCTAAAGTGTGCATATGTCATGATATAAAATAAAACGATATTACGCAACAAAGCTATTTCACTTATTAACTAACATCCAATTTACTGTAATTGTTAATGTACTACAGTCATTACAAAGGCTTACAGTGAACCTCGACCCACATTCTCAAGCAATCGAGAAATTCCCTGTGTTCTGTTGGACCCGAAGTTTCTCAACCTCAAGCCACACAATCCTCTCCCGAGTCACATGACTCAAGTCACAAATTCTTATTCTATTTATTTATAATCCAATGATGCGACACAAACGCCGTAATTCCAAATTTCTCTGAATGAGTAACAACATGGCGTATGCACGAACTTATGATGTGAGAGCAACATTAGCAGTAATTAATTTAGGATCAAGGAAGGGTGTTTTATGATAGGTTCTGGAGGTTTTGGTGAGCTAATGTTTCTTTTCTTCTAAATAAAACAAGAACATGGACGTCATCCCAAAATTTTCCGTGGTTTTCAGTTTCATGTCGGAAACTAATGAATTAATTGAACTACGAGTATACTCGTAAATGTGAAATTCCTTACCCAGATAAATTATAAATGTATCCATAATTTCCAAGTAGGGTCAAGAATGTTCTATTCTCCACGCCGTCCAAACCGGTTCCGAGGTCCACTCAACCTCCTATCCAAAGGGTACCGGGGCTCTTTCACCAGAGGTAAAGCGGCCGGGGCGTGAAGCTGACCACTCACCTCAAACTAGTGCCGAGGTCAAGAAAATGTGATGTATGCATCCACTCCACCATTCGCCTTCATAGCGTATTGCTTAATTAGTTAAGCACAGGGACAACTATATTACAATTTATCCACTATTTATGTACGGAGTAATATTTATAACATATAATATGGCGGCTGTGCGTAATTTTAGAGACCACAGCTTCACACCTCAGAAAACAGTAGCGTCCACTCAATGCATTTATTTCATTAGAATGTGAATTTCTTCAGATAAATTGTACACTGGACCGTCCAGATGGGAATAGCCTTGACACAGCCATTTACGTGTATGTTACTGGTTCTGGGAGAAGAAACACAGTAACAATATACACTCGTTAGATGCGTCAGAACGCAAAGGTAGCATAGACTTATATATTATATATTCGACTCAGCATATTCTATGATTCGAATAAAATACAACGTATAGGTTTATGATTCTTTCGGTTTACACGGCAGTAATATTTAAGATTGTGGTATTCTGGATTGTGACAGCGTGTAGTCTTATAAATAGACACGAATGTTTTGGAAGAAAATACTTCTTCCATTGTCAGGGTCAAAATGACTAGGATGAGGAAACTGTTATTTTATGTATCATGTACTAAAGAACGCCACCTCACCGTCCTCTCAAGAGGAGGAGAGGACAAGACTACACGGTGTCGCAACCCAGAAGACTACAATCACAACATGCCAGAAGATATTTTTCTTTATAGCCACCACTGTAAGACTCTCTAACCTCGCAGTAATTTCCTTGAGGAGAACAGTCATTATTTTCATGAAAATGAAAAATACTAATTTAGAATAATTTCCTGTAACCCGTAGTTTGTGTTTCTACATTGTTGGCTGGATTGGCTTGTAAGTTGAAACGGGGCCTCTAGCTCATCTTAAATACTTCACTGGTTTTATGGACGTTCTTGCTCATACAGAATATCCCTTTAAAGACAACCACTTTCTTCCGTAAGATTGCCTATTCATGGTACGACGCACTTTGAAAATGTTTTAGACGGATCTAACCTAGAACACAGGCCGCGCCATAGCTCAAGCGGTTAGTCGCTGGCTTCCCACCGCGGTGGCCCAGGTTCGATCCCTGGTCTGGTCAAGTGAGATTTGTGGTGGACAAAGTGGCGCTGGGGAAGGTTTTCTCCGAGTAATCGGTTTCCCCTGCCAATCATCATTCCACCAAATTCTCCATCATCATAATCACTCGGGGCAGGCTACAATAGGCCAATCAGTGGCCGCCGTGCCAGCTGAACTCCAACCTCCACTAAACGAAACCTAGAATATTTCCCTTTAGTACTCTTGCGGTGTTACTGATGAACTGCCTATGTTTCTGATGTTTACAGGATGAATTTCTGGTGTTCCTGGTTGTAGTGAAATGTTGGATTGTCCTCGTGGACGGACAGGATGACTACGTCACTGCCAGTACGAGTAATATGCAAGGCGTCTCTACTTTGTTACAATCAACAAACCTTACAGTCTCTACAAACATTCTGAGAAACTACTCATCAAATCTAGAAGAAGCTGAGGAGTCAAACGATCACATTTCTGGAACAGCTGTAATCTCAATGTCGACCGAGTCACCCAATGAACAAGAACTGACACACCAAGGAAGAACACGTGAAGGGTCTGAGTTCGGAAGTACCACACTGTTTATTACAGACTATAAAGATTCAGAGACATTTAACGTATTGTCAGAACCAACCGAAACTGGTAATAGTGTATTGGAAACAAGCACAGGTGTTCGAATAGAAACAGACTCGGTTACTAGCGCAGTGTCTGTTAGAGAAACAATGACAGGCCTGCCAACTTCAGTGGCACCATTTTCAACAATTTCGAAAGTTACAGAGACGAACAAAGCACCAAGTGACCGCCTGGAGACAGAATCCACTGTAACTTCAGAATCCGAAGCACATACAGCAGAACAATTCTCGGTCACAGAGCCGGACTCTACCGTTCCAATTTATCCAGATTTCCCAGATTTTAATGATGTTTCTTCAACTACAGAAGGCCCAATGTTTACATTTACGATTCCTTCGACTTCATTCGGAAAGCATGCTCCTTCAAACTATCACTGTATCGGCCCCGGCCGCTTCCCAGCGAGACTAAGTTGTACTGAGTACCATATATGCCGTCTTGTGGGTATTTGGTTCGTACATTTCAAACAAAACTGTCACTTCGGGCTTCAGTTCAGCCTTCGATTTCGATTCTGTGTTCCTAGCTATTTATCTGATTGCAAAATAGACCCATACTTAGCAAATGTTCGTAGGAAAGCTGGTGCACGTAGTGAACAGGATGACATCACATCAAGCGAGTTTGAAGATGAGAGTGAAGGAGGTAGAACTAGGGAAGTATCAAGGAGAAATTTATGGTTTCCTCTCTTGAAAGAGGGAAGAGCCTTGTATTAAAAAGTACGTCAGAAGCACTCGTAGTAAGGTTAGCGTTCCTTCCTGTATAAGACAAAAAGAAAAATGGCAACAAACTCAATACTGTCGGGTGCAAGGAACTAATTTATAACTTCCTTTGTTGTTACTTTCGCATTGCAAAAGGAAAAGTGGCAATGTGAAAGAACACTCCCTGTAACATCTTAGATTTAGTCTGATTAAAGTGTCAGCATTTCAGATATGGCGACTGCAGTCATGTAGAAGGAAATATGGAACATGTAAATTTACTAAACCTGAATAAACAATTTTAATTGTGGTTCTCGATTCATTAGAATATAAAAAGAAGCAACAGACTCCATAATCAAACTCAAATTCTAAATGTGATTTAAGGATTCAAAGGCATGAAAATTCATATTATGGCCTCCTGGTTATAATAGCCTATCATTAGGTGGTTTCCAACGTTTAGGAGGAATATGCTGCCTCCATCATCAGGTCATAAGTGAAAATTTTTACTGTATGATCTTCGAAACGTTTGGTGTATACGTACATAAATATTAAATAAACAAAATAAAAACAAATATCTGCTCGTGTTTAGTAGGTATGTGTTTATATTTTAGTACTAACTTAGATTGGTTAATTATTTAATATTTTAACTATAAAAGAACACAACAACGGTCTACGGGCAGAAAGAAATTTGTTACCAAAAATCATAGAGAGTTTAGAGGGTTATAATATATGTTACGAATATTATCTTAGCCAATTTATGTCTGAAATTGATCTAATTGCGTTTAAAAATTTAGTTCATAGTTCGCAGAGAAGAAGTTGCTTCCCCATTACAAAGAATAAATGAAGGGACCTCCTCTCTTTTGATAGTTAGCTAGTAGGCTCCAGTCCTGTCTTCAAACCATGGCAGCAGATGATGTCTAATTTTTATAAGACAAGTAAGCTGTACCATTAAAATTCCTCCGTGGCCGTTAGTCCACAAGCGAACTATACCGACCGAGCGACCGTCGCTTGTCGGCGAAGTTAATGTCAACTTTTGCCGATAGGGGGTGTCGCGTGGTCAGCGCAACGGATACCCACGGCCGTTAATCTCGGTTTACTAAACCGGATGCCATTGAAATAGCTTCATTAAATAAGTTCACAGCCAGAATATGAAGTAAGATTCGGGGTTCCTGTGGCGGTGACTACTCTGGTTGGGACATTATGCCATGTAGCCTGGTAGCACGTGAAGGGTAGAATATGGAGGCAGCAGGTTCCTCCGAAACGTTAGTAATACCCTATCAGACTATAGGGAAATATTGAAAACATGAAACTCTTAAGTAAAATAAGCATTATACTTTGAACATTGTCATGAAATCCGCCTCAGAATGTATTCCTTCAGAAGCTTTTTCGGTGTGAATAAAATATAGGAGGATACTTTTTGTGCATTTTTACACTGTCTGTACGTCACAGACACGCAGGAAGCAGAGCGTTTGTGTTATTCAGTAACTCAAAGTCAAACTGGCATATCAGGCAAACCGACACATTTATAAACCTGGCGCTCTCATATACATTAGTAGTTTCAGTGGCTCCATTCATTCTGAGGATGCAGACAGATGCCGCTCACTTCTCTATTTATATGAAGGCTATGTAAACCTCATAACTTGCGGGCAAGCTGTCCACAAGGCATACAGTGATCCCGTAACTGGTATGTCTCAACCCAGCACTTCAGCTGTGGGAAACTTGGAAAACACCAGACCGCGTATCATATCCAGCTCTCGGCAGTTTCCCTCTGCTTTGCGATGTTATTAATTCTAAATTAATTCATTGGTAAGATATCTAATTTCCACATGCCTGCAACTCTTGAAAGTTACGTGTGAGTTGCGACATTTTTCATTGATTATTTGAGATCTATATCCACGAACTTCTGTGACAGCTGACAAGAGCGCGTAATATCGGTGGAACGACCGTTACTTCCGAGTTGCTGATTTATAGTCGGGATGTACCTGCTTCTAATCTCGGGCGAGATACCGATTATCCTGTCAGAGGACCTGTGGTCTAGTGATCAAAGTTCCTGGTTACAGATCCAGAGGTCCCGGGTTCGATTCCCGGCGCTACCAGATTTTCTGAGGAATAGTGTGTCTGGAACGGGGTTCACTCAGCCTTGTGAGGATAATTGAGGAGCTATTTTAAGGGAATAGCGGCTCCGGTTTAGAAAACCGAGATTAACGGCCTTGGGGATCCGTTGCGCTGAACGCGCGACACTCTCTATCCACAAAAGTTGACAATAACTTCGCCACTCGGTATAGTTCGCGGCTATTATTTGTCAATAGGGCTGTACTCCATGAGTTAGTGTTCAATGTCTGAATAAAAAAGAGATATACAAATTTTTTAAGGCTGTCTTCATCAATTTTTCTGGAAATGTGACAATTTACGTGTTATAAATATTGTATTTTTTAGTCTGTTTACGTCCTTAATTTTGATGTTCATGAACTGTTGTTGCAATTCCATTTTTTATTTCTAGTGGGGTGGGACTAAGTCCCTTGTACTGCGGCCACTTCTGGCCTATTGAACCAGCCCCAGATTATAGGTGAGGGTGATTGGTGAAATGAAGATTGGCAGGGGAAACCGAAGTACTAGGAGAAAACCTGCCCTAGTGCCACTTCGTCCACCACAAATCCCACTTGACCAGAACAGGGATCGAACCCGAGCCGCCGCAGTGGGAAGCCAGCGACTAACGCATAATTTTGACTTACTTATATGAATGGTAATTCGTTAGGCGCCTCGGAATTCAGGCGGTGCAAAACTCTTCTTGTCATTTTCACGAGGAAATGTAACGCAGGAATCTCTTATGTTGCGTACAGGTTCTCACACAGATTTATCTTGGAAACGTCCCTGTAATTTCTAATTAAGGAAGTGGATATGGCTTTAAAAAGTAAAGCTATCCCTGTAACAGGCCATGAAGGCCCCTAGGGTTGTGAGACGTTGAGGGTCCCACATGATCTAGAAAATCGGCTCAAAGTTTGCGGTAAGGTTGTCAGCCTTACGCGCCAGCCGCGCTTTATTCCCCAGGAAATTATTAATTAATTCCTGGTACTCATTTCTGTTAGAGGCTGAATCGATCCCAGGGCCATAGTGCGGCCCGAAGGATTAGGCCAATTGAAAGGAATTAAATGACCTCATAGGGACTTGAACTCGCGACCTTCCGGCCTGTAACATTGTGCCTCAACCAACTACGCTACCGCGTGCCCCAGGATATGGTTTTAGAAAATTTAAAAATTTAAGGTAAACTTCAAAAGAACTTGTAAAATTTTGTGTTTAAGGGAAAGCTACCAAGACCTGGATCCACTGTCTGCGAAATCTAAAATGCCAGTCTTGAAGACGCTTGCATGAGCTCTGCGTCCACGTTTCAGAATTCAAGACTAGATGCTAAAGAAAGTGGCATAAAATTCTCAAGAAATCATTGATCTATTTAGATTAATCTATTCTGAGCTATGTTTAAACATTTGAATCCTGTTGGTCAATACCCGAAAGAATATGTCGTTTTTCTCAACGGATATGCGGCACCTGTTTCGGATAAAATCCTGGCCTGATCGCGCTCCGCGTTCGCTCATCTGGGGTGACTTACAAGACCTAGCTCTCATGTCAGCAACGCTCCAAGAGCAGGGTCGTGCCCCGAGCGTGAAAATTTAGAGTGAAATGTCATTATTTCAGCCAAAGGAGCAACGTAATTATTTTCAAGTCGAAATGCTGACACATGCTGCGAACAACGCGATAAATGAGTATAAACAGGATATTTATTAATGCAATAAATCATCTTAATAATATCTATTCAGATAATATAAACGATAAATTTAGAGTAAATTTCAGGCAGGCGCAGTATTATGCTTTTCATTTCGTGAAATGTATCCGATATTCGAAAAAAGTGGCAAATAAAATTTCATAATATAATCAGATTTATATTTTATGCTGCGTAAATATACAATTTCATACGATGTACAGTTTTCCGGAAAATCAATGACGCTCGTTTTATAAGCGCCATGTAAAGTAATGCTTATATTATGCTGATAGCAACAAAAATCGTGAAGCTGACCACTCATTTCCATCTAGTGCCGAGGTAAAGAAGGCTGGAGCTGTACCTCCACTCCCCCATATATCTTCATGGCACTAATTAAATACAGGAACAATTTTACCTTTTTCACCAACCAAATTAAATTGCCGGTTCCCTTAACCGGACTCAGAACAAAGCATATATATGCTTTAAGTTGTATTAACTGAAGAACTTCATTCTCTGAAACAATAAAAGCCATCAAATAGGTCCAAATTCCTTACTTGAGGGGCTTTTTCCTTGTTACCTGTGTCCTTCCTATTTCATTGCATAGCCTGTAACATTTTGTGCAGTAGGACTGTGGAGTGCTGTCAGTGCACTTTTAAGGAAAAATACACTCTCCGGCTGGTGGGTGGCAGTTAACGCTGTGTTAAACACTCCTCGCAGAAGAAGGCACACAAAACAGGGACTATCTACAACCCAGGACGGTGGCGCCGACGGCAGTGTTTAGGTTTCGAGTCTTCTTCATGTAATTGTAACAATAAATACGTTCATGTGTCTTCCTTATTGTCAGCAACTGTGGGGTTACCATTAGCAGCTGTCAATCACACACACTGCACACAGACTGCACAGCAAAAGTGGCTTAAATATCAAGCCATTCTCAAAACTGTGATGTCAGTACTCTTACGGATATCACGAGGGTACCTTGCTCTCTGTGTGTCTGCATGTGTATCATCTTGTCGTTGATAGGCAACGGCTCGATAAACTTGTTCCCACGGAAACGAATACACACGCGACAATAGAAGAACTGTTGGGCGCGTAGTTTTCTTTGATTTTTCCAGAACTTCTTGTATAATATTTCTTTCTGTATTCTTTGTTTCTTTTGTTTCTAATTCCCTTAAAACTGTTTTTCTTTCAAGTGGAAACAAATAGCGCTATAAATTCTTGATATGATTTATGGTAATAGTTTTTCGAAAAACATTGGCTTTGAATTCGGTTGATGTGACTGTTTTGTAGAATGTGTGTCAGCTATGAGAAAACTATCATTTAGCTTCCAGTTTGACATCAGTAGCTATCGTAGCTCGGAATGTAAAGTTTTGTGCAAAGAAAAATTGCATATATTAACATTAAAGCGTATAATTCTCTTATTTTACTGAATATCCTCCCTTATTTTCCCGGAGATACCATTAGATTTATTTAGGGAGATGTGATCCATATATAACTCAAATTTAATCAAAATCGTTTAAGCCGTTTGAGAAACTATCATTATTTTGTGTTCTGGGAAC